ACCTCTTGAGTTCTATGATGACTCATTACGTAGATTTTTATTTTTCATTAGTGTATTTTGGAAATACATGATGATCACATTCTATGACCATCCCACTGAAGCTAAGTAGAATTTGGCTTGGTTATTATTTAGTACTTGGACTGGCAACATACACTAAGCATCTACTAAAAGCAACCATTATAATTTTACCCACAACAGAAAAAATTTCAACAGCAATAATATGCAGCTAACTATCTAAGTGTTAACAAAGGTTAATGGCTATACTGGTAAGATAGATGAGTGCAAGATGAGAGATTGAAAACTTAAGAAATAAAGATGAGAAGGGGAAGAAAAAGGTGAGGAAAAGTGCCCTACTAGGAATTTAAAAGATAATAAAAGAATTAGCTCAAGGTGTTGAAAAAGAAAAAATAACTAAAACAAGATAAAAGATAAAAGAGTGAAACTGAGGAAATAAAGACCAGAATGCTAAAAGGAAAATGTTAGAAAGAAAAAGAAACAAAGAAAAAAAGAGAAAGAAGAAGTCCACACACACACACCCGAAAAAAAAAACAGTAAATAAGGGACAGCAAAAATAATGAGTCCAAAAATGGGAAAAAGGTGTTTTGAGTGAATGGTTTCACTTCGTGACCAACAACTTTGGAATCCAGCAGGTCACAGTTTTCTTTACCTACCTTTACACTCTGTTGGTTTGTAAGGTGCCCCTCCTCCAGATGCCTCCCTGTCGTTTGACCCCAGTTTGTATCAACTGTCCAAGCCAAGGCATACACTTTCTTATCTTGGTAGATGGAAGGCAATCAGACCTCTGATCTGTGCTGGATAGTATCCAGCAGGGAGAGGTTAAAGAAACCCACTAGAGGTAATACCAGTGCTTTCAGAGCCAGCCATTTCTGAATGTACCGTAAGCTGGCTTCTCAGCATGAACAGGAGGGCCCATGTCCTGTTCAGCCTGAGTTTAAACTTTTCAGGGATCGATGTCTAGCCCACTGTTCATGTACAGCTATCTTCCGTGGCTGTTGCACTCAGGCACTGTGGGAGGGGCGGCCCCGGGGAACCTGAAGTGAAGGTGTTTTGTCTTTTTTCTGAATCTCGCTCTTCATTTCTCAAACCCTTCCTTAAACAGGACTTGATCAAACACTCACTGGCAGCAGGCGCCTCTTCAGCAGTGGCCTGCTATGCTGCTTTCAAAGTTCTCAAGCACTATGGGCTCCTCCCTCCTCTGGCCAGTGCCATTGCCCTATGTGTGGCGTTTCCCTGTGCAGGTGCAGGAGGAGCTTACTTTGTGTCTGTGCAAAAGAGTTCTTCCTCAAACCAAGGCAAGCTTCCAGATTGCTTCATTCTCTTCTCTACATTGTGAGTCATTTTTCCAACTTCTCTGTACCTTCTTCTTTTTCCTCTAGATTCTTCTTAATTCCCAGTAATCCAGTTCTTTATTTCTCTCATTGAGTTGTTGTTTTCTGGGCTCAAGATTCTGAGTCTCAGAGAGGCTGTGTTTCACTGCTCATTGCTACTCTGCTCTTTTGATTCCTCACCTGTGTGGATTTTTAACTTATGTTTTTCAACGTGCTTAAAACATATTTTGTATTTAGAGTCTGTTAGTCACTTTAACAAAACTATGCAACTGAAAATATATTCCAAGTACTGATATCTCCTTTTGCATGAATATCTGCCTAAAGCTTCTTAATCATCTTTCTATATTTTAGGCATTATTCTTCCCTGCTTGTAATGTGTCCACTGCTCTTGTCAATCTGTCAAAACCCACGTAACTGCAAAATTTAATTCAAGTGAAATATCCCCCTGGAAGGCACTTTAATTCTTTCTCTTGTTTGCTGAAATCTCTATTTTTAATCATCTCTTGGCCAATCACATTTCCATATATTACAGTCTTTAAATAATAAAAAGTCCTATAATAGAAGTTTGACTGAAAGTGCAGGCCACAGCAGCTTGACTGACCCAGAAGGGAGGTGGCACAAAGAAATATAGTGCACACCACAGCAACTTGACTGATCCCCACTCTGCTGCACTCCAGCCACTGCCTCTGTCACCTCCAGGCCACCAGCAAGACCTGTTGCTGTGGGCCTGGGAGTGAATTCTCACCCACCGGCTGCCTTAGCCTTGCCCCAGCTACAGCTGATGACCTGGAGGGAAGGCGGCACAAAGTGTGCCGCCGCTGCCACTGCTGCTGTGCTCCAACCACTGCCACCTGGAAGGGAGGTGTCACAAAGTACTACGGTGCATGCCACAGCACTTGAATGATTTGGAAAGGAAGGGGCCAGCATATGTTGTCCCTGTCGGAACCTCATTAGCACTAGGCAGAGAGAAGGGTCAGCTAGCCAGCACACTTTAGAAGAATTGTAACAAACAAAGAAAGAAACTGAGGCCTCCTGGAAGAAGCAAAAAAGATGGGAAGAGGAAGCAACAACAAAAAGTCCGAGTTCCCAACCCTGATAACATGGACTCAGGACAGGTAAATACAAAGAAGAATGAGAACAGCAAACATGCAATATCTGACACAGCACCAGTGGACATAAGATTTATTCAGGACCTCATAGACGAGTTCAAAAGTGAAACATTTAGTCAAATAAAGCAAGATATAAGAAGATTAATAAAAGAGATACTAAGCACCCCTCAAGCAGACACACATGGAAGAAGGGAGGAACTCAAACAAAGGAGACAACCATTTGATGCAGAATATAAAAAAAATACAGAATACATGAGGCAAATCCAAAGAGATCACAATGAAATTAAAAACTCTATGGAAAAATGGCAAATCAACTGGAAAGAAACTAAGGATAGATGATCCAAACTGGAGGACAGTTTTGCAATGTGGGAGTATGAAAGGGAAAACTTTTTAAAAATAATAAGGAAACAAGTGGTAAATGTAAAAGGCTAGAAGACGACAAAAGGACCTATAACTTGAGAATAAAGAATATGAAGGAAGAAGCTGGGGTACAAACAAAGTAACTACACAGGTTATTCACAGAAAAAATTAATGAAAACTTCACAAACAGGAAAAGGAAATAGTATAGTGATATATGAGGCATACAGAAATCCAGCCACCTACAGCCAAAACAGAGTTATATCCAGGCATATAAGAATCGTGATCCCAGAAATTCAATATAAGAACAGAATATTAAAAGCTGTTAGAGACAAGAAACAGATAATCTATAAAGGAAGGCCCATCAGAATAACGGCAGACTTCTTGACACAAACTGTGAAGTCAAGAAGATCCTGGAGTGAAATATTCTACGCCCTGAAAGAAAATAACCTCCATCCCAGATTGATATATCCTGCTAAACTGTCTCTAGAAATTAATTGATTAATAAGATGCTTCTAAGACAAAGAGGAACTTGGGAAATTCGCAACCACCAATCCAACACTACAGAGAATACTGCAGTTCATTCTAGAGAGATAGAAAAGTACTAGGATTCCAAGAATGGCAGAGAAGCCTCAGTGAATGGAGCAGAAAACAGAATTAAGAAAATGAGCAGACAATTGATGGGAAAAAAGAGCATAACAGAAATGAGGCAGAGAATATTTTATTCAAAACTGAAATAATTGACAGTATCAAGTCTGAGAGTATAGGCAACTACAGTGAAGATGACAAGACTCTATGATACACATTCTGGTTTCATAACTGCCAGTTTTTGAAGTTCTATAAGATATGCAAAGTTGTATTTTTATTAACACTGTCAGGTACTGATATATTCAATTGTCCTATGTCTGATGATATAGCCAATTATGTTGGACATAACAAGAGACAGCACAGGAACCATGGTAGAACTATTTGTATAGTCTTCTTGTATGTTTTGTTTGTTTCCTGTGTTTAAAGGAATATGTTTTGTTTTGCCTTGCTTTTTTTGTTTCTCCATCTAATATAGAAAGGATAGAAATACATGTTAAGATTCATGTGTGTGCAAGTCTATAAACAGTTTATGAGAACTAGTTTTATAATACATGATGAAATGAACAGATACTTTGAAGAAACAGAGAAACCAAAATACCCACTCCTGATCCTGAAGTGTCATAATGTGAAACCCATTTGTTTAGAGTGATTTTAGCCTGTTTGGGTTTATTCAATCTCAACATAATTGAAGACATGGATAACTGCATGTATGTTTAAGAGTATAGAATTGATAACCATATTTCTAAGTTTTTGTTGGATAGTTGAACAGAACTGGGTGCAACCTCAGCCTTTGAATCCCTACTTTATATGCTCTACTTTAATATTTTGAATAACTATTTGTAAGAAGACAATCTGTAATGATCAACTAGTGATTTTTCACTGTTTATTTTTTTCTTTGAAATTATGTATTATTTCTACCCTATTTCTGTTTTGTTTAGTCTTTCTTTAAATTAAATAATAAAGAAAAGACTTTACAGTACCTATTTCTGATCACGGAGTGTCATAATGTGAAATATACCTATACTATTATTCTTTGTTCAGAATGATTTTAATCTGCTTCAGTTTGTTTAATCTAAATATAAATGAAGATATGGATAACTGCATGTTTGTTTAAATGTATATGATTGACAACCATGTTACTAAGTTCTTGCTGCACAGTTGAACAGAACTGTTTGCAGTCTCACTGTTTGAATTTGCACTTTACATGTTCCACTCTTGTACCTTGAACATCTCTTTGTAAAATGACAATATGTAAACATCAACTAGTGATTTCTTACTGTTTACTTTTTTGTCTGAACATATGTATTATTTCTACTTATTTTCTGTTTTGTTTAGTCTTTTTACAAATAAAATATAGTAAGAAAAAGATTCGTATAACAAGAGCACAAGTGTTCCTGAATGCTACTGTACATTGTCACTGTATCCTGAAGTTCACCACTGTCCCATGATTCCTCTGGTCTGTGTGATTCTGGAGGACAGGGCTAACCAGTTATCACCCTGCTTCATTTGGGTTTCCCTCATATTTACCCACCTGCCACCTTCATTTTATGTAGCAAATATAGACTCTATAATATCGACACCATAGTTGGAAACTTACCTGCTCCTGAGGACGGACAACTACTGTATTAAAATCAGGCCACTTGTCCACCAGAGCCTTTACCTTGAAGGGGTTCCCCTGGTTCATATGGAAGATGGTCCCATAAACCTGTCCCAATTCAACACAGTGGAAGAAGAAGCATAGAGCTCATGGTCAATATTGTGCTTGTGTGACAAAGTGACTCACCCCTCTGAAAGTAGGCTGTGCAGCACTTAGAGTGTTTAGTCCAATCCTTAGGTTACATTTTATTATCCCCCAAATAAGCAGAGTTTTGAGGAAATCATAAATGAAATAAATTATCAATCACTCATTCTTGCACCATTAATTCTTTTTCATTTTTTCATGCATACACACAGTTATACAAAATGATCTCACATATATTACTTTAACATCTATTATTCCCACATACACTATACTTGACCATATTTCCAGGTCATTAAATACTCGTGTATGTAAGCATACTTCATAAATATATAATATTTACTCTATATTTCTATTTTTACCTCTTTTTTATTTCAAAGAGAATGAAATGAAACAAAGCAAATACAAACAGAACAGAACCAAGTAGAGCAGAGTGAAACAATGCAAATAATACAGGATTTCGAAAAAGACAGCAGGAAATCAACAGTGGCTATCATGTCACTTGTGTTCTTCTAAATAGTTGCCCATACCTTTACTCACAATATGTTCATACACATCAAAATAGTATAAAAGCAATCAAAGCACAAGAAAGAAAGCCTCAAGGGCTTCCAAGACCAGACACTAGGAAATCAATAATGCCTACCATAATGTCTCTTGTTTTCTTCAATATAGCTGCCGTAACTTCATACATATTGGAAGCAAATAATTGAAAACAGACTAAAAGCTATCAAAACCAAAAATAAAAGCATTGTTATCTTTCTTTTTTTTTAAATTATACATCAGCCAAATTCAGAATAAAGCCAACTAAGATTGTACAGTGAAATTGGTACAGAGCTTCACAGCAGGTGACTGGGATAACAGTAATAGGTATTACAGTATATTTTGTTATCTTTATAATAGTTGTTGTTCTTACCTCGAGACCATACTTATAAGTGAAATAAATCAAACTCACCTGTATAAATACTGAATAGTTTCTCTCATGTAAGAAACGATAAGAATACATGAAAGTACGTGGTAATCATGATTGCCAGCCACACTGGTTTGAAGCCATATAATGTTTTCACTCCTTTCTATGAATGGTTTTAATTAGCTGTTTTTATTTTATTGTCTGTGATACTACAAATGACTATTTTGAAGAGAATAAGAGCGTAATAGCTAGCGCTGATTTAATACCATCCTGTTTTGAAGCCCCATCAAGTTTTTGTTCATTTGTTTCCATTGGTTCTAACATGTGGTACCTTATTATATCTTAATGCATGCAATAGTATAAGCAAGATTTTTATAGACAAAGAGATAATATAGAAATTGATGTTTGGTTTCTGCTAGCTGGTTCTAAATTGCCTGCAACAATTTCATTCACTTGAACGGTCTCACACTGTCTTGATAAATTTGATGCTATAGTATACGAAGTTACACTCAAATATTTCAAGGAAAGAGTCACTATGGTAACTACTATTAATGTCAAGCTATCTGGGGGTGAAACACAATGATGGTTAAATTTTTCTATTCTGATCGGTGTCATATTGATAGGTTCTTTTTTTTTTTTATCTCAGTCTCCCCCCCCTTTTTCTTTCCTTTTTTTAAAAAAAATTAATTTATTTCTTAGTATCTTTTAACTAAGGGAAAATTAAATTAAAAATAGTGTGATAGATTATAGTAATTTTTTTGTTTCCCTATTAACCTGATTTGAACCCGTGTAGTGTTCTCCATATCTTGTTCTGATTGATTTTATTATATTCTGTTTTGCTTAATAGTATCAAGTTGAGGGTATAGGCAACCATTTGGAATGCAACCAGATATTCTATGATGCCCGTTATTATTTGATGATTATCTTCTTTGGAATCCTGTAAGCTCTCCAATGTGATTTTATTGGTCTTATGTACGGTTTGTTCAATTCTTTTATACTAGCTGATATAGGCTACTCTTTTTAGGATAACAAGAGGCATAATGGTAACCATTGTTGATCACCTAGTAATCCCCCCTTTATTTTTTTTTATTTTTTATTTTGTTTTCATTTTATGCTATGTCCATCCTCCTGATCTAAATGACTCTGTTTTGCTTTGTCACATTGGGTTTTTCTTTGGTCCGTCTTGTTTTTTTGTTTGTTTGTTTGTTTGTTTTTGTTTTTTGGCCTTTTTTTCAATCTTTTTCCATTTCATCTTCAAAGAAAAAGTTTAAAAAACTGTGGAAGTAATGGAAACTAAAATGTGCGATTGTTAGTGTAAAAAAGAGAGGAAGGAAAGTGATCTAAAGGATATAACTGCAAGTTTATTTAAGTGTGTAGGAAACTGAACCATATTGCTGAGTTTTTCTTGGATCATTGAACAGAACTGACTGAAATCTCACTGTATTAATCTCCACTTTGTATGCTTTAATTTTGTAATCTGGACAGCTGTTTGTAAGTTGTCAATGTGTGATCTATTAACTGGTGAAGTCTTACTGTATGTTTTTTTCTCTTGAAATTCTGTGTTGCTTCTTGCCTTTTACTGTCTTGCTTCAATTAGTTTTGTCTTTCTCTTTAAATAAAAAAATAGTTGTTCTTTCAGTCACGTATATCAAAATGAGATGAAATATACAACACTATAGAACTTTATCAAAACAGAATATTGAATACAGCAGTACCATTAAGTAGAAAAGAGCAAAACAGTAATAAAAATATTTGCCTTCAAAGAAATGGTAGAAGGAAGACCTCCATATTTGCTATGGTCAACCTGCCAGAAGATACTCAGATTACTGGTTCCCATTTGCCAATGGGTGGGGGTGGGGGGATAGGGGATGTGGGATATCTGACTCTAGGCTATGTAGCAGTAGGTTCACTGTTGCTAAGCAGGGATGCAAGATGGTCATTTGTTTTCACAGCCACCTCAGTTCCAGCATGGCCTGGATCTCAGGAGACACTGCTGGTTCCCCCCCCCCTGGAAGGGCTGCAGTCTGCCACCCTGCCTCCGCTTACCAGGGAGGTGAGGTGCTTGCTTGGCTTCCCAGAGTCCTAAGTTCCAACATGGCGTGGATCTCAGGAGACACTGCTGGTTCTTCCCCTGGAAGGGCTGCAGTCTGCCACCCTGCCTCGCCTACCAGGGAGGGGAGGTGCTTGCTTGGGTTCCCAGAGTCCTAAGTTCAAACATGACTTGGATCTCAGGAGACACTGCTGCTTCTCCCCGTGGAAGGGGTGCAGTCTGCACGCTGCCTCCACTTACCAGGAAGGGGAAGTGCTTGGTTGACTTCCGAGTGTCCTAAGTTCCAACATGGCGTGGATCTCAGCAGACACTGCTGGTTGTCCCCCTGGAAGGGCTGCACTGTGCCACTCTGCCTCTGTCTACCAGGGAGGGGAAGTGCTTGCTTGGCTTCCCAGAGTCCTAAGTTCCAACATGGTATGGATCTCAGGAGACAATGCTGGTTCTCCCCCTGGAAGGGCTGCAGTCTGCCACCCTGCCTCCGCTTACCAGGGAGGGGAGGTGCTTGCTTGGATTCCCACAGTCCTAAGTTCCAACATGGTGCAGATCTCAGGAGACACTGCTGGTTCTTCCACTGGAAGGGCTGTAGTCTGCCACCCTGCCTCTTCTTACCAGGGAAGGGAGGTGCTTGATTGTCTTCTCCGAGTCCTAAGTTCCAACGTGGCATGGATCTCAGGAGACACTGCTTGTTCTCCCCCTGGAAGGGCTGCAGTCTGCCACCCTGCCTCTGCTTACCAGGGAGGGAATGTTGTTGCTTGGCTTCCCAGAGTCCTAAGTTCCAACATGGTGTGGATCTCAGGAGACACTGCTGGTTCTGCGCCTGGAAGGGCTGCAGTCTGCCACCCTGCCTCTGTTTATCAGGGACGGGAGTTGCTTGCTTGGCTTCCCGAGTACTAAGTTTCAACATGGCATGGATCTCAAGACACACTTGCATTGTTAACTTTCAAATAAAAATGATAAGAAGTCATCAATGGCTACCATCGTGTCTAGTTTTCTTCAGTGTAGTTGTTCCACCACCACACATATTAAAATCAATTCTTGTAACACTTTAGGTGAAATTCTAGCCATGCATGAGCATATACATGTATATCTATCATTTCTGTATTAGACAAAATACTACAAATAAATAACATGGTCTAAGAGCCAAAAACAATAACATTGTAGACTTTCAAAACAAGGTGGTAGGAACACAATTTTTGTTCCCTTTCGTAGTATCTTTGTGAGTTGTTGAATTATCAGATATGGGCATGCAAAATTGATCGAATCCTATGGATGTTACCTGTTATGTTCCAAGAACTAGCAAAATTAGTAGCACAATCATCTTAGGAATCTTTATGTATATACAAATTTATATCTTATTTTGTTTCTCTTCCTTCTGCTTTCTTTTTCCCTGTTTGAATTATTTTTTCTTCTTTGAGAAGCTTCTTACCCTTTCACAATATTTATTGAAAATTTTGTATCTTATTTACTCTTTCAGTTTCTTACACTAGGCAGACAAAATGTTATGTACACATGTGAGTTTGATTTATTGCACTTATGAGTAAGGTCTCATATCACATCCTTTTATTTATAAAAGCCTCAATGTGATCTTTCTTAATAGCTGAGAAGTACTCCATTGTAAAAAACTACCAGGTCTTTTTTGATCCACTATTCAGTTAATGGGCATTGGCATTGTTTCCAAGATAGATATTATAAATTGTATATATATGTATACAATTGTGTATATTGTATATATATATATATATATAATATCTATATCTGATAAACTAGCAATACTCATAGATATAGATATTGTGTGTGTGTGTGTGTGTGTGTTTGTGCACTGTGGCGTAATGTTTTTAATTTTTCTGGGACCAAGTTTTTAATTTTTCTTGGTGGTTTCCTTGATCCTGGCTATTCATTTTGGAGTAAAATGGAATTTCACTGAGGTTTTAATTTGCATTTTTCTAATGACCAATCAAGTTGAACATTTCCTCATGTATTTATATGCCATTTATATTTCTTCAGCTGAAA